TGTACACACCTTTGTTTATACCTCTATCCATAGCTTTGCTTCCTAGATCTCTCCTGTTTCCTTTTACCCTCCTCCTGATGGGGCATCATTTTGATGTGTTATATATAGGGTCAATGAGTCAGGTGCTGTGAACTCAACAGCAACTAGCAACTTCAACCACCAGAGAAGCCTTTCTGGATAGCTTACTGCTTAAACCACATCTTGAAAGTTGAGTCTTGGGCCAAGGGGAGAAGAGAGGTTGGGTTGAGGCCTCAGCCTGTCCTCATGCCAACACTAAAAAATGTGTGAACATGGTGAAGAAAGAAGTGTCTGGAGTCATATCACATAAGGATTTGCATTTGACCATAAACCATAGGTAATAGTAAAAGAGGAGTTCGTTGGTGACACAAACAGTTAAGCTCTTGATTACTAGCTAAAAGGCTAGTGATTTGAACCTACCCAGAGATACATTAGAAGACATACCCTAAAGGGCACAACCTTAAAAACTCCAGAGCAGTTCCATTCTGTATGAGTCAGCACTCTGGTCACCAGAAATCGCAATTGAGTGACTCAATGGGGCCTAACAACAACAGTAGAAAAACACTGAATGTTGTTTTCATTTCTTTTTTTTCCCCAGTCAATAATCTTTTAGTTTTTTTTTCCATTTTATTTATTTGTTTTAATTCTGTTATGATAAAATACGGATTAAATGTTTGTTATTTTAACCATCTTTCAGTGTAGAATTCAATGATGTTTAATTACACATATCAAGTTGTGCTGTAATCACTAATATCTATTTCCAAAAGTTTTACATCACCACAAGCAGAAATTCAGCACCTTTTCAGCAATAATTCTTGCATAAATGGCATGCAGCGGGGAGGGCCAAATACGACCTCCTCTGGCAGAGAATCAGACATAGCTCCACACACTATCCTTTACTCATTCTGACACCAACTGTTCCTCCCATGCCACTCTCTATGTATGCTGGGTTTTATAATTTGATACAATGGTAACACAGAAGAAGGAACCCTGGTGGCATAGTGGCTAAGCATTGTGCTGCTATGGCATCTGCCACTCCGAGGGAGAAAGATGAGGTTTTCTACTCCTGTCAAGAATTTTATAGTCTCAGAAACCCACAAGGGCGCTTCTACTCTGTCTTATAGGGTTCCTATGAGTCAAACTTTCTGGTGCCGCTGGTCTTGGCCTCTGTCACTTCACACACAAATGTCAAATATGCTCTTCTTCCAATGGTCCTGGGAGTATCTCTTTGCTTCTGCTTCAGAGATGCATCATCCTTATAACCAGGAATTGGTATCTAAAATAACCAGTCCCTCTATTAGTGTTACACATACCTTTTTGCATAGTCTGTCCTACCCAGTCATTTAATGGGAATTACAGAGACCTGTATAAACCATATTAAGAAATTTCACTCCATCACAATTCTCAATTCCTCCTGCATCATCCTCTGGTAACCAACAACATCCTCCTCTGTCTGCATGCATTTGGCTAGCCTAAATATTTCATATAAGTAAGATTATACAATATTTGTCCTTTTACATATGACCTACTTCATTCAGTATAATATTTTTTCTACTTTATTTTTTACACAAGAGGAGCATACTATACAATTTTTAAGTCTTAATTTGTCCATATAATTATCTAGATTGCCTCCTCAAATTTTTTTACTATAATGTTTTTAAGGTTCATCCATGTCGGTAACATATGTACATATTAGACAATTTGGAAGGTGCTAAATGATATATGAATCCTTGGGTTGTATAAATGTGTAATGCACTCAGCTGGTAACTGACAGATTGGAGATTTAAATTTATCCAAAGGCACCTTGGAAGAGACTGGCCTATGATCTGCTTTTGAAAAATCAATCATTGAAAACTCTATGAAGCATGGTTTTGCTGACACACACACAAGGTCACTGTGAGGAAAAGATGTACCATGAAAAACTAGTCTCTCTGTTTCTGTGTCCTAGTCACCCTGTTCCCCACTTGGAGATAGTCACTGTTGGTATGTTTTTAGTGTCGTTAAGAGTTATTCTGTACTTATACATACACAATGCCTTTATTATTTGCTGATCTAGAACAGAAATTCCACAAATGGATGTCTTTAACAAGCAGAAAACTATTTTCTCACGGTTTAGGAGGCTAGAAATTCCATTTCAGGCTGTTTGCTCTGCAAGTCTTTGTTTCTCTGTTGACTCTGGGAAGGGGTACTTGTTTCTTTAGCTCATTTTCTGGTTCTTTGGAGATCCCCCATGTGTCTTGGAATCTATCTTCTCTCATCTCTGCTTCCTTAGCTAGCTTCTTTTATATCTTCTAAGTTTTTGACTCAAGACACACCCTATACTAATCTTGTATCATTAACATGACAAAGACAACCCAATTAGAATTGTAATCACAGGCAGTTGTACATGTGCCCTCAGGGGGAGTCTTGAGGTCTTGATGACTTCATTTACAGCAGAAAAAAAATATTGCCTGACAATTGTCACCTTTGAGTCCATTGTTGCAACCACTGGGTAGAGATCAAGATGTACAATACTATTTGGGAGGGACACATTTTGTCCATAGCATACATGCATTGCAGACACAAACACTTATTTTAATTTAAAAAATGACTTACTATTCACATTATTTCTGTACCTTGATTATTTCATGTGAGACTCCACCTTGGAAATTGTTCCATAGGATTACTTTCATGGCAACGTAATATCTGGAAGAGGTGCTTATTCAGAGATGTGATGTGATCAGAAAAATCACTCTAGTGGCTGTTTGAAAGTTAGAAATAAAAGGGCATGGGTGTGGCACATAGTCTAGGAAGGAAACTGTTGCCTGTAGTCCATGAGAGAAGATGAAGCCTGATAAAGGAATGATAAGGAATCACATGATTCATGGCAGGAAATTGATTTATTCACATCTTCACAAAGTGCCCAAGGCTCATCTGTTGCTTACAGGTAAATCAGTCAAAAGTTGTGTATTCAAGGCTATCTTTTTCTCGCTCTCCTGCCTCCCCATACAAATACTATTTCTCACTGAGCCCTCAAGTCCCCAGAATGGTTCACAGAAAATTGGAATTGAAAGATAGCAGAATTTTTCCACAAACTTCACTATTTTTTCTTCAAGAACCAGCAGTTTCCCACTCAGGTTCAGGGCCCTCAGCAAAGCCACCCCATTGTACAACTCCAGGGGATAACATTTAAGTAAACTATATTGTGAATGGTGCTGCCCCTTGATCCCAGAGTTGTACCATGTAGCTTTTCCGAGATCCACCCCATCTTGCCTTTCCCCCACTATAGATACAGATGGACTTTGGAGTAAATTTATGTTCCAATTTATTCCACTGCTCATTAGACTTTAGGCAAGCTACTTAACCTCTCTGTGTCTTGTTGGTAAAAAGGAAAATAGTTTTTGCTTTATAGAATTATAGCGTTGCCATCAGGATTAAATGAATGGGTACATATGAATTCTAAAAGTTCATGTAAGAATGAATTAAAAGGTAATGGAATCATCTCATGAACTCTTTGAAACACCCTTGTATAGTACTTAAAATAATGGTACCTGGCTTTCTGTCGGTATTAGATATTCTTACCAGCATATATGTTCCACTCCAGCCAGCAACTCTTTTTAGGGCCCTGGTATGCTCTGCTTTTCCCGTGTTCAGTTAGGAATGCTTTCAGTGCTCTCCCCATCAAAAGTATATTACCCTACTTCTCTTTCTTGCCAACCTCTGCTTCAGAAATCCTATGTTTTTCTAATGGGCATGTACCACTTTCTGACTTATGGACAATTGTATACTTTTTAGCCTGGTTACTTTCTGAAAATGGAGTAGAATTTGACTAATTTTTCTGTCTCCAGCATTACCCTACACACAGCTGGGTACAAAAAAAAAAATCCAGGGGGAAGAAAGGGAGAACCAATCGCAATGATTGATGTACAATCCTCCAGATCCCAAGGAATGAACAACAGAAATATGGGTGAAGGGAGACAGTGGGCGGTATAAAATATGGAAATAAAAATTTATAAATTATCAAGGGTTCACGAGGTGGGAGGGTCAGCGAGGGAGGAGAAAAAAGAGGAGCTGATATCAAGGGTCTAAGTAGATAGAAAATGTTTGGAAATGATGATGCAACATATGTACAAATGTCCTTCATACAACTGATGTATGGATTATTATAAGCACTATAAGAGCCCCAACAAAATGATTTATTAAAAAAAAAATAAGAAAAGGGAAAGAGAAAAACATTAAAAAAATCCAAACTCAATGCCATTGAATTGATTCCACCTCAGTGACCCTATAAGTAGAGCAGAACTGTCCCCATAAGTTTCGGAGATTGTGACTACAGGAATAGAAAGCCTCATCTTTCTCCCATAGAATGGCTGCTAGTTTTGAACTACTGACCTTGAAGTCATCAGGGTTTCAGAAAACATTTGTTAAATTGAATAAGAACTTGAAGGCCCATTTATGCAAAGAATCATTTTAATACCATTTGCTATTGCTCAAGAAACTCTTTCTCATTTCATCCTTGTGAAAGTTAACACATTATGCAAGCTACTCATTATCACCCCCAGGTGAGCGAACTAAGACTGAGAGGTTAACCAAGCTCCTGCTGATCTGTTGGTTGGGTTGAGCCAGAATTCAAATTTAATTCTGCATGGATCCAGACTCTATTCTTACTCAAATCTATACCTACCTCCTCTGTGGAGGTCTTTGGAGGTATTCTGGGGGCCAAGATCTCAACTTCGTTCCCTCTCCCCAGATTGACAATCCAAACCCTCATCAGATGGGGTGGGCTAAATGCGATGCTGACCACCACCCCAAGAATTGCACCATGGTAGACATCTGTCCAGTGGACCACCGCCCAATGCTGCAGGGGATCATGGAAATCGACCCTTTGCAACAGGACCAAGCTCTGGTATCTGCTCTGAAGACTAATAAAAAGATGCAGAAACGTACAGGTAGGATAAAGATGGCGGCAACTGAATACTCCTGATTAACAAAAGGGCCTACCTGGACTAGTTTACTCATAGTACTTTAGTTAGTAGCAGCTTTTTGACATTTGAAAGCTGAGCCCTAGGGTTTTTGAATGAAAATAGCCATAAGTTCAGCTATAGGGAAAGGTTAGGGACAGGGATGTGGTAGTAGGCTCACGTACTAATGTGGTAGCTCTGACATTGGCTTATGTCAAAATCACTTAGAGGTCTTGTTAAAAGGTGCATTTTTGAGCCATACCCCAGAGTTGTTTATTCAGTAGGCCTACTGTGGGGCCTGAGAATTTGTGTTTCTAACAGGTCTCTAGATGCTGATGCTGCTCTTCTAGGTACCACATTTTGAGAACTACTATAGCCACCATTAGCCACCAGGCTGTGTATCACATAGTCACCATTTACTTATCAGATGTTTTACGTGCTATGAAGTTTACCAACTCTAATTTATACTTGATTATTAGGCAACACATTTAAATCCAGAGGTGCAAAAATGTATATAGTAAAATGTCTTTCTTCTATGTCTCAATCATTCAAGACCTCTCAGGCAACTGGTTAATTAGTTTCTTTTCTGAGATCAAAAAGCAAAAAATGTATATAGTCCTTATTCTCATTCCACACTAGTCTACTAAACACAATATTGTCCAGTCTTTTCCCAATCAATATATTTTAGGGATATTTCCAAAGGAGATTTCTCATTTTAATGGTGGTCCTTTTGTAGATGGCCCATTCAGATCAAAATGCTATACTCATCCTCATTGAAACTCATTGCAGAAGTCATATCCTCACTTCATAAATAAGGAAACTGAGGCCCAGATACTTTAAGTGGCACAAAGTGAGATAATGGGTAGAGCCAAAGTGTAAATGTGGGGTTGATTGAACCCATGAGCCCTGTTCTTGGAACTAGTCTGTGTTCCCTAACCAAACATTCACTTTTGGCTTAGCTACACACCTGAGCCCAGGAGTTTGGAAATGAATTGCCCTTTAACTCAGTCTTTCTTGTTGGGGTTGAAAAGGCGACCCCCATAATCCCCCCAAAATAGACATTGATAACAGTGATCAGGGTGAAGACACAACAAGCTTAGTGGTAAGGGTACCTAACCCAGTCTAAATAGGTGCGATCAGGGAAGGCTTTCTGGATGCCTGAGCAGAATCCTAAGGTTGTGGTGAATCCCAAGGATTTAAGGTGAATTTTCAGACATGCAGCTCACACTACAATGCCACTCATTTGTTTTTGGTATAATGGCAGAGTGTTAAGTTTAACACAGAAAAAAAATTTCTGTTTTGAGAGGGAGGAAGGATAAAAATACTTTGAGCCAGTAAGTCTGATGCCCAAAACAGAAACCAGTTTGGTAGTCATCTCAGATAAGACAAATGGGCCTACCTGTGAGGCTGAACAGGCGGTATCTGCCAGTAGCCTACCAGTTGTTTTGTTCATTATTAGAAGGTAAGTGAGTTTGGGAGCTTGGTTCAGATCCCCAAGTAGATGTAGGGCAGCTCTGACAGGCTTCTGCCTACTCTTGGCAAGCCAGCTACCAAATGACTTCCTGTATTTCTTTCCATCTACAGATAAAATCGCCAGCAAGCTGTCTGATTCATGATGTCTGCCCTCAATCTCTGTGGCAACACTGTTGAGAGTGGTGGTGACTAATTTCACCCCCATCACCAGTTTCAGTGCGATGGTACAATATGAATGAAAGAAAATTGTGTCTGTCTCCCCGAAGTACTTGCATATTGAAAGAATGTGTACCTCATTATGCCCCTTCCCACTGTCTACTCCATTATCTTCAGTAAAAAAGAATCCCAAGAAGCTAGCGTTGGCAAACCCAATACTCTTTATTTATCCCTGACTCACTACTTTATGGGAGAAAAATAAGACTGCACTCAAAGACTTTCTGTCTTAGAACGCCCATATAGGGTCTCTGTGAGCCCATCAATTTTATAACAATGAATTTGATTTGGTTTTTGTCCATTTTACAAGAGAAAAATGTCAGCAGTACCCAGATACTAACAATTTATCACTACCCACATGCTCTAGAGTCCCACTTTTTAGGTTAGACTTGTTTGGGAGTTGATCCCCCCAACAACCTCACGATTGTCTTGGAAAAATGAACATGCATCTAGATCAGTGTTTCCCAAAGTGGGTGATACCATCCTTTGGGACAATCCAAGGGGTTGTAAAATCAGATACTTATACTTTAGCCTAGATTGTGGGCTATAATACAAAAGTTTTTCATTGCTGGGGGGCACTGAGTAATTTTTAAAGGGCGGTTCTATAGACTAAATAAGTTTGGGAACCTGTCATCTGAATGCTAACCTTGGGGTCTTTGGGAGGATGATAATTTTATCACTAGTCCACAAGAAATCTCAGTTGCAAGACATTCTGGTAGTGAACTGCAGGGCAGGTATCTTCCTTTAAAACCCACGGATTCTTAGCTGGGTTGTAGTTGAATAGCAGTGATGAACATTTTGTGTCTCTGGAAAAGTGTAGGGGAAAAAAAGAGGGAAGAAAAGGATAAAACAACCTTGGTAGTGCTGAAATGTAGGTGCAACCTGTTGGTCTAGACTTCTGGCTTGGGTTGCCAGAATCTGTCTAGCTGGACTCCACCCTTAGCTGGCCATGTCTTATATAGAACCAGTGTTTTGAATACCGTGATTCATAAGGGTTCTTCACAGACTACATCTTCTAAAGTCCAAAGAGCGGGTGAGGGGGACACATGAGCCAATTCCTTTGTCAGTGCCTGAAAGCCACCTCATTGAAATACAATGAGCCACCTACTTTCAAAGAGCCTACCTTACCAGCTAGGGCAATGGGCCCACAGTGCCAAGGCCCTCAGAAATGGACTGAGATAGATGATTGCTGCAGAAAGTCTTGCTTTACTAGTTATCTGGATTATATACAACCTCGGTTCCCAGCAATTTTCCAAGACTGGACAAAATTGAGGGGGGTGGTCATTGGATTGCTTCAAACTTTGTCCCATACTCTATACCTATATGCACTATATTTAGACCTACAGCCTCATCTTAGTCTTGCCCTCACCTTTGCCTCTTGTACCAGCAATCTTAACTTAACCTATGCGAATCCTGTGAGCAGAAGCCCAAACCTGTGTAATAGAGTGGAGAGCCCTTGGCTGACTGCATGCTGATCTGGCTAAGGAGTGCGTACTATGCTTGCATTCAGAGGCAGTCCAAGTAGAATTATAGACTGATTAAGCCCAACTGCCCCAAACCCTGCTAATAAGTGATTAGTTTCCCTGCATGTAAGGTAAACAGATGAAAGTTTATAAGAATTAGCACAATATACCATATTAAATAGTAACACTTAGGATTGGAACCCAGGTAAAACCCTTTGCAGGCCCTTTGTCTTATACTGTCTCATTAGGAATATTAAGCACCTGCCATTATCAAGTTCTTTAAATGTTTTATCTGTGGCTTGAAAATGTGTTATGAAAGCTAATTTGTTGTTTTATTAAGATAAAACAACATACGATTTTTATGGCCATAAGATTCTAATTTCAGAGTCCCCTTGAATGAGGTCCAATTTATTTCACTCTATCTCAAAATATGGTAGATTATAGTGTCACAATGGAAATTGGACAGCTACTGTTATATAACCATATAGCACTTAATTTAACATTTTAAATATTTTCTACTACTTCCTATGCAATACTATTACAATCATGGGAATCTAGTTGGGCCAAAATGGCGCAAAATAGTCACTGTAGGACAAGAATTTGGAACTCTGTGTTATGCACCTGCAGCTTATTTTAATAAGGTTTTTAGAAATCTATTTCTTGAATATTATCTTAACCTTGATTTTTAATTAAGGTATAATTTACACAGAATAAAATTTTATATGTTCTATAAGTTTATACAAATATAAACTGTAGTGTAAAACTCTCAAAATGCCCCATTTCTACTCTTAATCTCAGGTCCTGGCAACCACTGATTTTTGTTTTTTCTTTTGTTAGTTCAAGGATCATTGGCCTTTAGGAGTGTTTTCCAGTCCAGTCTGTTGGGGCACCACG